ATCAGATTAGGATGTAGCTCTCATATACAGGGTGAGATGAAAAAAACTGCAACAAAGTCAAACGCCATAACTTTTACATTTTTTTATAAATTTTATTGATTGAAAGCAAAAAATGTCGGAAATAGCATCAAATTGTAGAATAAGTTCAGATTTGTTCGAATTGGTCACTTTTGGCACGAATTATGGCCTTTAAACGCCAATGAAACCGTCACACGCCGCCCGAATGTTGCTCTGCGGTATTTGGGCACTTTGGTATTTTTAGTGTCATCTTTGCTTTCCAAAATCCTCACAACATAATAGTCCAACGGATTGGTATTCGGAGATTTTGGTGGCCGTTGTTTCTTTTAAAATGAAGAGAGGGACCTCATTTTGTAACCATTCTTGGGTGCCGCGTGCTGAGTGCGATGGTGCTAAGTCCCGTTGGAATATCCAAGGTCTGCGGTCAAAATGTTTGCGTGCCCAAGGCCTTTACACACCCTCCAGAATATTTTCGCGATAATATTCGGCATTTATTCTGATGCCACGATCAATTAATACGAGCGGAGAGCTACCATCGGCTGTTATGGCGGCCCACACCATCACCATGGCCGGCGCTTGAGTTCTGGTTCTGGCGGCCAACCAGCTGATCTCTTTGGCAAGTAAACACGATCATTCTGTTTGCTTACAAACTGCTGATTTCTCATCGGAGAAAACCAAATTCGGCAGTTCACTACTTTCGGCCATGCCAAGCAACTCTTTAGCTCTTTCGAGTCTATTTTCTTTCTGTTGCGGTGTAAGTTCTTGCACTTTTTGGAATTTCAATGGCTTTATCCCGAGCTCATTTTTCAATATTTGCCGAATGGAATATTGCGATATGTTCAGCTTAGGAGCCATTTTTCGGCCACAACGACGCGGGTTCCAATCAAGTCGCTTCTTTACTATTCGAAACATTTCTGCCGATGTTTTTTCCGTCCACTTCCTTGACGCCGGGCTACGCCACCAGTATCACGATAACGAGCGATGGTACGAGACAAAAATGATTATTCACAAAATTCTCAACAAAATGCTTATGTACGCTTGTAAAAAATATAATGGCTTAAAAATGACAGCAGTCTGAAGATGGTTGAGGTTTTTTCATCTAACCCAATACGCATAGTTGTGTAGGGTAATACTTTTGTCCTTTCCTTATTGGTTTTATTTCGGACAAGTAAACCAATAATTTGTAAGAATTTTGTCTTTCCATGAACGTCTGTGATTGAAAACAAGCTGTGGCAACAAATATTCACACCTGACCAAATATTGATAAATTATTCATATATTTGTCTCCTCATTGACATGGGGCTGGATTCTTGTTCTATGAAAATATGAAATGAAAAATATTTGCTTTATAATACGTTTCATTTGACACCTCTTTCCTCTATAAAAGTTTTCATTTCACATTTTCATAGAACAAAAATTGAAGCCCTGTTCATATACCTTGGGTCTGCTGTTACTATAATCTCTCATGTTATTGAATTTTGCTTTCGCATTTTATATCTTTCCAATAGAGAACAAAAATAGTGGTTAGTGCTAGGAAATGTAAAGAAAAGCTTTAAAAACTCTTTTTTTAATTCAAGACAAAAATCTTTAAAATAATACCCCTAGCGCCATCTAGTGAGGTCAAGGAAGAAGCGACACCATACGTAGCAAGGATAAACTATCAAAATTGTGTCTGTGCTAAAATACATTCAGATTTAGTGAAGCTAACAACCTTTCGAAGTGATATACCCCAACGACATCTAGTTGTGGCTTGTTTCTACAGTAGCACCATCTAGTGTCCGCTGTCAAAAGGTTTAAGGATATGGTAAAAACCTTTTACATCCAGCCGCCCCCTTTCTGTTGAGGGCCGTAGAACGGTTATATCATATGTATTATACAAATCAAATTATAGGCCTTGGAGCTTTTTAGTCTACTATAATTTTGTATATGTTTCCATAAAACCGTAGAAATAATCTATACGTAGCATATTTCATAATGATTATTATAATTTCAAAAAAAGTATATAGTAATAATAATATTAAAAATAATAACAATAATAATAAAAAAATAATTCTACATTCTCATACAATTTGCAAAATTATATGAAGGAGTAGCAAATCATAACTTTAGGACAAGTTTGCTTTAAATTTTACTCTGTAAAAATTGCTCAAACTTTTCTGCTTAGGTTACGTTTCTATAAATTTTAATTACAGTAGAAAATGTTAAAATAAATGTAAACTTACTCTAAAATGTAAATATAAGAAAAGAAAATTATCATAAACTGTCATACACAAAATTATTTTGTTAACAGCAGGAGCTTTTTTAGCATGATTAATAAAATGAGGAGAAACATTGAAATGTTAACCAAATTTTATTTCATTATATCAATATACCCCTATTTTTATAACTCTGTATAAACCCCTATTTGTATAAATATCCATAAAACTCCAAGAATTATTGTTATACCTGCTATAAATTGCTTTTCAATAATAGTATCCATAAAACGACATAAAAAGATATTAACGACCCCAAACATTATTTATGTTTTATAATTGTTTAAATATGCAATAGAATAATGTTTTTTTATAAAGGACTCCATTATGTCAAATTTTTGGCAGAAATGTTAATTTTGTGGCCAGACCTTACATAGACACAATAATCCAAAAAAAAAAAACAAGTAAAAACGCCATAAATTCGGTCGGGTCGGAAAACCTTTTAAATATAAAGAAAGCGGGATTGAATATTGATTTATTGATACATTTTTTTTCTAGTGAATCGGTTGAAAAAAAAAATGCCTTAAAATGGCGTAATTTCGATGGTAACGATTTTCTGTGTCAGTGCTTTTGCGAATTTCAAATATCAAATTAAAACAACTCAAAGAGTATCTGTCACGACAGATGTATACCCTCAGGCAATGTTCGATTATTTATATATATTCTGACTTCTGTTATATTTATTCAAATGGTTAAATTTCTATGGAGTAGGTTTCGAAGAAATGGACCAATATTGTCCATTTCGTATCGGACCTAATTAAATATGATATAAATATTGCGACCTACCAGGTTTGGATTATATCGACCACTTCCTCTTCTTTTTATGAGACGTGCGGTAATTTTTGGAAAATATTGAAATTTACCGAAATTTATGGTCAAAATTACAAAACAAAAAAAAACGAACATTTTATGCGAAACCATAAAATCTAATATCCTGGTTGAGGGGTTTCTGGCTGAGGGAAATATTTAGATATAGCAAGTTGTAAAGAATCACTGACTTGTTTAGCAAGTTATGACAGATAAAAGTATTGAAAATTGTGACACTTTGTGGATTATGTACCAGAAGGGTTGGCGGATATATATCTTCTTCACAACAGATCTTGCGTTAGCAAAAATATTTGCATGAAATTTGAAGAGAGTCGGATGCTTATTTCGATTTCTTTGAGCATTTTGTATCTCAAAATGTTGAACCCTATAAGGGGGAGGTACCAGATCTCTGGAAGGAGCTAACCGATATATCCCAACTTTATAACAGATCCTGTGTGGATAGAAATATTGAGATGTGGCAAGCATGAATGGAATCGAATTTTTAATTTCACGTTTGACCCTTTTGTGGGGCAGGTACCAGAAGGAGTGGACCGATATATTCCATCTTCACAACAGATCTTGTGTTGTTAGAAATAATGGGATGTGTGAAATATTAGGAGAACCACATGATTACTTCGGATTTATAATCGTTTTGGTTAATCAAAACTTTGACCCTTTGGGAGGGGAGGAGGTTCCAGAAGGAATGGTCCAATCTTTATAACAGATCTTGTGTTGATAGAAATATTGAGATGTACCAAGTCTGAATGGAATCGGGTGTTAATTTCACGTTTTGTGAGCTTCATGCATATTCAAAAAGTTGACAGCTTGTGGGGGAAGGACCAGAAAGAGTGAACCGATAAATCACATTTTTATAACAGATCTTGTGTTGATTAAAATATTGAGATTTGCCAAGTCTGAATGGAATCGAATGTTAAATTCGCGTTTTATGAGCTTAATATATATTGAAAATGTTGACCCTTTTGTGGGGGAGGTACCAGAAGGAGTGGACCGACATATTCCATCCTCACATCAGATCTAGTATTAGTAGAAATAATGGGGTGTGTAAAATATGAAGAGAACCGGATGCATATTTCGGATTTTATAATCGTTTGGTTTATTCAACACTTTGGCCCTTTGTGGGGGAGCTATCAGAAGAATTGGTCCGATCTCTGCCATCTTTATAACAGATCTTGTGCTGTTAGAAATATTGAAGTGTGCCAAGTCAGAATGGAATCGGATTTTTATTTGAGTTTTGTGAGCTTCATGGATATTTAAAATTTTTACCCTTTGTGTGGAGGTACTTCATGGAGTGGACCGATATTACCCATTTTCGCGCTTGACGTAGCAATGATGGAAATATAAGGATTTACAAAGTTGGAGCGAAATCGGATTATCTTTTCTCTTTCTGTGCAATAAAATATATTGTTTCTAAATGTCGATCTTTCTTTGAGGAGGTACCAGAAGGAGTGGACCAATATTGCCCATCTCCAAACTCGATCTAAGTTTGATAATAATGTTACAATCTACAAAGTTTGGACCATATCGGATATTCCCTTCCAGACTTTTCGTGCGCACCAGACAGACAGACGAACGGACGGACATCGCTAGATCGACTCCAAATGTCCCGAAATGGATTTGGTCCAAAGAGACCTAGGGTCTCTTTCCGTATGAGATGATATATACCCTCTCTAGCCATATGGCTGAGGGTATAAAAACGGAAACGGAAATTGATGAAAAGCAATTGCCTTGAAAATGTAAGTACAAAAGAGCTCAATAAAAATTGTCCCATGTAAATTCGTCTATATTCTAAACATAACCAACCTTAACAGGCTTCGCTTTTTATGACAATATCAAGATAATGAGAATTTCGTAGTTAAACCTAAATTTCTACATTTAAATTATTTTTAAATTAACCTTTTCATATTATATAACAAATAAAAAATATTTTTTATTGTATTTTTTGTACATTTTCTACTTAATACTAACAGCTTGTTTTTGTAATAATTCAAAACAAACCAATTCGAATGAGTTGCTATCAAACTCCTGTTTTATTAAATTTTGAATTAATTTTATTTCGTTCAAATACTTTTCAGTAAACATAGGTTAGGTAGCAACTTTCTCGATTTAGTTCATTTTAAATTTAACAAAAAGCAGGCAGTAACTTTAAACCTTAACTACCATTATCGCAGCACCTTCAAACCCCAGCAACTTTTAACATTTCTTCAATGTTGACAATTTTTTCTCTTGGTTTTCCCACAGCCTGACCACGTTTCGTCTCCTCAGCATCAATTTTTTCCCAAGCCTGCCAGCTCACATAACGTTTGTCCTTTAGCAAGTCCACGAGGCCAGGTTTGCTCTCCTCCCTTGGAATTTTCTTTGCCCCGATATCATCACATATTGTCTTGGCCACCGAAAATGCTACATTCATTGTGGTAAGTATAACACCTGTGGGACCAGTGGCCAACCAACCAGCAGTATATAGACCAGGATCCACAGAGGCCGTATCGTTTGCATTTCTCAGAACACGTCCATTTACATTTGCAACCATACCAGCTCGGGCATCAAAACATAAATCACCATCAGCACATGAGGATTTATAGCCTATACTTCTTAATACCAATTCAGCGGGTAGACTTTCATGTGCCGCTGTGGCCACAGCCTTATCCTGTTGCATTTCATTTATGGTAAACACTAACTCTTGATCCTTTAGAGTTTTTGGTGATCTCAAAAATATGGGTAAAAATTGTTTGGCATATTGTGGTTGAGACTTTTGTTCGTTAAGACTTTTTAACATTAGTTCAGTTAAGCGTTTACGCGGCCGTGCTAATTTTTCAATGGCTTCTGTAACACCCTGAAAGTCGTCAGGTCGCCAATGGGTGCTAACGTTGGGTAAACGTAACATTTCTCTTAATTCTTTTATGGTGAATGCTACCTGTAGGGGTCCTCGCCGTCCAACAAGATACACTTTTTCCACTTTACTAGAGGCTAGACAGTCTAGGGCATAAGAAGTAATGTCGGTTTTCTAAAAATCACAAAGAATGTTTGGTTTTAAAATTGAAATGTAAAAAAAAAAATAAAAAAAGTGCGAGATTAAGATGAATTGTGATGAATGTTTTGGTGATACGTTGAAAAACATCTATAACAAAATCTTTTAAATTCTCAAACTGTTGACCCTTTAGGGGGGAGGTTGACCAATATTGACCTATTCGTGTCTGAGGTGCCAGAAGAAATGGTCCGATCTCTACCATCTTTATAAAATATTTAGTGTTGATGGAAAAATTGAGATATACCAAGTCTGAATGGAATTGGACGTTATTTTCACGTTTTATGTGCTTTATGGATACTCAAAATGTTAACCTTTAGTGGGGGAGGTACCAGAAAGATGGGGCCGATATATCCCAATTTCACGCCAGACCTTGGTTTAATACAAATATTGCGATGTGCGCAATTTGATGGGTTTTTGTTCTTCAAAAATTTGACTCTTTGCGGGAGAGGTACCAGAAGGAATGGTCCGATCTCTACCATCTTTATAACAGATCTTGTGTTTATTGAAATATTAAGTCTGAGTGGAATCGGATGGTAATTTCGTGTTTTATGAGCTTCTTGAATATTCAAAATTTTGACCCTTTGTGGGGGAGGTGCCAGAAGGAGTGGACCTATATATTCCACCTTCACACCAGACCTTGGGTTAAGAAAAATATTGTGATGTGTGTAATTTGAAAATAATGGGATCTTTAAATCACATTTTGTAACAGTTATAATAATTCAAAATATTGACCCTTTGTGGAGGAGGTACTTGATGGAGTGAGCCGATATTGTCCATTTTCGCACCTTACGCAGCACTGATGCAAATATTAGGATTTGCAAAATTGCAGCAAAATCGGATTATCCTTTCTCTTTCGGTGCAGTAAATTATTTTCTTTGAAAATGTTGGCATTTTGTAGGAGGGGTATCAGAAGGAGTGGACCGATATTGGCCATCTCCGAACTCGATGTAAGTTTGATAATAATATACCAAGTTTGGACTAGGTAAGTTTTGACCTATCAACATGATATATACACTCTCTAGCCATATGGCTGAGAATGAGGATAACATTTTAGAAATTCCGAATATTAGGTTTTATATAAGAAAACGTGGTCCTCTACAGTCAATTATCTGTCAGCGAGGGCAGTGGAATGTTGAAATAATTTCTTTAACACCTTTAAAACACAACGGAGCCATGTTTGTTACCAATCCTAAGGCGTTTGTGTTTTTTTTTTTTAATTGCTGGACTTTTATAAAATTCGCAAGCCCCAACCTAAATGCATTCTTCCATTTTCAAGGAAAGACAAAACTTTTTAAAAGTGATCCTATCTCTCTAGGATACAGATTACAAGCATCATAATCAAATTTACAACGAAATCAAAGTACATTCAAATCAAGAAATGAAATTGAAATAATCTGAATAATGGCAAATGAAGTAGTGAGGTATGATTTTCAAAAAAATATATAAAAAATAATAAAAAATATATAAATAAAAATAATATAAAAATAATGATACAACTCACCTTCAAATCATCAATGGGACTCAGCAGCATACGGGCAACGTCTACAGCAACATTTCCCTGGCCAACAATCGTTACAGATTTGCCCGATAAATCAGGATTTAAATTTTCCGCACCCGGCAGACCATTATACCAGGCAACAAAATTACGTGCTGACAGCACATTTGGTTGCGTTTCATTTTCAATACCCAATTGGCGATCCTGATCAGCACCATAGGTAAGCAGCACGATATGATAACGTTCGCGTAGCCCTTTCAAACTGACATCTTGGCCCAAAGCAATATTACCATAGAATTTGAAACGTTCATTTCCGGCTGTCTTTGTAAAAGTATTAATTACATTTTTCACTTCAGGGTGATCGGGAGCAACACCAAATCTAAAAAAATATGACAAAAGATAACTTAAAGTAAACTCATTGAACTTGAAAATAAATAACTAAAGTAATTAGTTTTGGAGCTGATAAGAAGCAATGACATACAGGTTTTTTTATTTTGAAATATTAAGTCACAAACACACAAACCTAAACAGAAGAATGGGAAATAGTTTCTCCGTACTTTATGACTTGAGAATTGTATAAAAGGAGCTTGGCTGAAATGCAGCAAATTTCATTATTTTCAAAATGCCTAATGTGAAACTAAATACTCAACATTTGCCATTATTACTGTTGTTGTTACTTGCAATTCTGAGGGAAGCTAATGCAACTTTCTACTTCGCGAGCATAGGAAGTATGTATGTACATAATTTGTTAAATATGTATGTTTTTCAATTGCTACTTTTAAAATCTTAGATTATTTCCAGAATATATTCCATGCCATATTTGATCCCATAGGAAATGCATTTTCTGGCAACAATCGTGGATGGAGCAATGCCAACATTACTTCAAGGGGATAACTTGCCCATTGCTTGTCCTCTTTTCCCATTAATTCATTAACTTACCTCACCAAACCAAAAGGAACAGGCAATTTGTCAATAACATCCACATTGGAATTTGGTAAATGTTTCAAAATATGTTGAGCCGCGTAGAAACCTGCCGGCCCAGCGCCAACAATACAAACTCTCGTGGAAGGGTTCTGGGCAAAAAATCGTATGTGCGTCAAGTTGTTTAACTGAGGTTTATAATTTCGTTGTAAAATAGTTCGTAACATTCTTAAAATAAATGTAATTTAACTTCAAATTAATAGTTTTGAGAGTTGCGTCGTTCGAACGAAATGAGAAATTGACAACTTTCACTTGAAGCGGTAAATAAAAAACAGCTGTTCGTTTATTTAGAAGAGAGAGAAAAAATAATAAATGAGAGATGGAAGAATATGAATATTATACAACGGTTGACAGCTGACGTAAGTGCGACCTATGCAAAAGGAGGGACTTTGTACAGTGGAAGGTTTCATAAAATTGGGAAGTTATTTGTTACGGGTAATATGATATGCATAAGGTTTTCATTGCAAGTGAGTAATCACGGTAAAATCATGGCTCAAGAAGACAGGTTTTTCAACCTCAAAATGGAAATCTGTGCTGAAGTCTTATTGTGTCAAATATACTTGTCAACATGTAACAATTGGTTCTATTTATTTCACAATATTGATACCAATATAGAGTGATAATATGGTTTTATCCCATGGTACAATGAGTTCAAGGTAGGGCAGAACTACCATATGATTTAAATTTTTTTATTTTTCTGGCTTAATATGTCAACTTCATTTGCTTATGTGTGTGACTTCTTTTCAATAATAAAAAATTTGCTTTTTTATTGTTTTGATAGCAATTCTGACATTACAAGCCAAACAGGTAGACCTCTATACTTGAAATTTTTTCAAAGTTGACCTACCTTCTCTTCATTGTACCATGGTTTTATCCCATAATTATAAAGTTTGTGACCCATTATCGCCGAAAATATGATATTTTAAAGACTTTAAACTGTTTTCTTTATTATTCAAATCAATATAAACACAAACTGTGTATAGGTATTGGCAGAATTATGAAGTTAACGTCTTGTAGTCATATGTTTCCAACTTTTTACACCCTCCACCTTGGAAAGGAGGGTATATTAACTTTGTCATTCCGTTTGTAACATCCTTAAATATTCGTCTTTGACCCCATAAAGTATATATATTCATGATCAGCATAAAATTCTAAGTCGATTTAACGATGTCCGTCTGTCTGTCTGTCCGTCTGTCTGTCTGTTGAAATAGCGATACAGCCCACATTATTTGACGTAGAGCGCCAAAATTTAGCAGAGCTATTTGCATTGTGTCTAGGATGGTTGGTATTGAAAATGAGATATATCGGTCCACGTTCTGGTATAGTCCCCATATAACGGTACCTCCCGATATTCGGTATTTTGATGATTTATGCCACATTTTTTCACGGATTTGTCTGGAAATTGGTATTTGTAGGTCATAACGGGTCCCTGAGCGTGTGGCAAAACATTGCATGTATAGGTCCACGTTGTGGTATAGCCCCCATATAAAGGTACCTCCCGATATTCGGTATTTTGATGATTTATGCCACATTTTTTGCACGGATTTGTCTGGAAATTGGTATTTGTGGGTCATAACGGGTCCCTGAGCGTGTGGCAAAACATTGCATGTATAGGTCCACGTTCTGGTATAGTCCCCATTTAACGGTACCTCCCGATATTCGGAATTTTGATAATTTATGCCACATTTTTTCACGGATTTGTCTGGAAATTGGTATTTGTAGGTCATAACGGGTCCCTGAGCGTGTGGCAAAACATTGCATGTATAGGTCCACGTTGTGGTATAGCCCCCATATAAAGGTACCTCCCGATATTCGGTATTTTGATGAATTATGCCACATTTTTTCACGGGTTTGTCTGAAAATTGGTATTTGTTGGTCATAATGGGTTCCAGCTTCGCTGGCGAAACATTGCATGTATGGGTCCATGATTTGATATAGCCCCCATATAACGGTACCTCCCGATATTCGGCATTTTTATGGTTTTTGCCACATTTCTTCTAATGTTTCTTTTACCCTAAGGTGGAGGGTATTAAAAGTTTGGCCCGGCCGAACTTAATGTTTTTACTTGTTATATACTTCACCATTCTATGAAGGGTATATCTTTCGAATGAATTGAAAAGTTTGTAATGGGTACTACAGCCTATGCAAAAAAAAAAATGTCTGTGCAGGTTCATATCTTATATATATATATATATATATATATATATATATATATATATATATATATATATATATATATATATATATATATATATATATATATATATATATATATATATAAAGATACCTACCGATATTCAGTATTGATGCTGATTTTAGCGACATTATCCACCCGAATAGTTTCAAATTTCATATTCGAAGTTTTTAATGAGTGCTACAGCCTAAAACAAAAAATGAAGGTCCACGCCTACGTATAGCCACCATATACCATACTACCAATATTCTATTTTCGGTATCGGTACTACAGCGTATGAGAAAAAAAATTTACTAATACAGATCCACGTCTTTGTATAACCCCCATATTACGGTACCTGCCGATATTCGTTATTTTTATGATTTTAGCTACATTATACACAGGAATTTTTTTCAAAATTCGCATTTGAAGCTCGTAATGGGTGCTTCAACCTAAGACAGAAAATTATCTATGCAGGTCCAGGACTTCGTATAGCCCCTTTATTCGGAATTTAGATGATATAAACGAATCTTTTCAACGCAGTTGTTTTAAATTTCGAATTTAAAGTTCGGAATCATTACTACAGCGTATGACAAAAAATTACTTATGCAGGTCCTCGTCATCGTATAGCCCCCATTAAAGGGTTCATTACTACAACGGAATCATTACTACAGCGTATGACAAAAATTACTTATGCAGGTCCTCGTCATCGTATAGCACCCATTAAAGGGTATTTTACGATTTTTTTTTTTTAATTTTTAAGTTCCTTCCTAATGGTGAAGGGTATTCAAAGTTCGGCCAGAATCTTCCTCTTAAGGAAAGGTTTTTGTGTCGAATGGCCTGAAACCAATTTTGCCGAGATATTAGCGTCTGTACTCACTCATGCATCAAAATCTTCCTTGACAGAGAATATAAGTATTCTAGACTCTATAGTCAGCTAGGCGACAAAATCTTCTTCTCAAGGATATGTTTTTTTCGGTCCATCAGTCTAGAATTAGAGACATTCATCTATGGGCGGTCACATTAAAAATCTTCTACTCAAGATTTTCTTTGTGGGTTGGGGAGGTATGGACATATTTATAAAAAAAATATACAACATTGTAATTAGGACCTAAAGAGCTTTCCAATGATTCTCATATGACTTCAATTGGTAATAATAAACTTCTGTAAGAGACTTTCATTTACGGGCGGGCACACTTAAAAATCGTCTTTTGCATATTTTCTTTATGTATAGGGAAATAAGGACTTCTTTAGGAAAAATAAACAATATTGTAATCTGAAGGCCTTTAGAATTATACCAATATCATAGACAAATTAATATATAGACAACGGAAAGTTAGTTAGGTTTTTTATGCAGGTGACCCTCAGCACGTTTTTGCATAGTCAACATGCTAATTTAAGCAGTCTACCTACTCGGCTTCGAAAAACATATTTCGGGATTTTTCAAGAATTTCAATTGACTATTCCCATATTTTTCGATGTCATTACATTTTTTTCACCTATCTTTGAGTATAGTATTCTTTTCAATACCAATATTGGAAAACATATAAAAAAGAGTTTTGGACAATAATTTATTTTTTATTTACATAATTCAATTTAAAACATTTCTTACTACTATTTAAAAATTAGTAATTAATTTATTCATTTTGCCCTTGTAAGCTTAATAATTTATTTTCTTTTTCCACAATTTCCGCGGTTAACTTTTCAATTTCTGCAGAGTTCATATTGACATCATTTATAGAACTTAAATTTAAACTAAAGAGTTGATCATTAAGAATTTGTTTTGCCATTGATACTTCAAGCCTATGATGGAGAAATGATCAATCAACTAAAATATAATACGGAAGTGCAGACAACATACCTTGACTTATTAAAGATCAATTCCAGGTTTAATATTTCCGCAGAAACTTGAGCCTGTTGAGATTTTAAGTTCTGCTCAATTTCAAGTGCCTTTTGTTTTAACTCCTCACATTCCACATTGAGAATTTCCGTTTCGTTTAGTAGCTGTTCTTTGGCACAAACAACTTCCTCATATGGCTATTAACAATGAAAGATTTTTAGATACTTTAGTAACATATTAAAATAAATAGAGCAATTGTTACCTTCAAGGCCACATCATCCTTATTCATAATCTCATACAATGCTTTTTGCGAACGTTCGGTCTCCTCTTGCATTCTGCATTCAATTGCTTGATTGCCTTGGCGTATCTGTGCCAGTTTGTTGACTAAGTGTTCATCACAAGCCTGCATTGTGGTTTGGGCCACTTGTTGTGTGGTCAAGAATGTTGAACTTAGAGGCGTTAGAGACTTGCTAGAATTTTCATTGTAATCATGGATTAGTTTTAGAACTTCTTTATTATTCTCCTTCATAACATCCAAATGTTGCATTAGTTTATCGGTTACCAATCTCTAAAGGTGGGTTAGCGAGAAAATAGTCATGAAAGGAAGAAATATTGGAAGAATAACAGTGGTATATTTACCTTGGCTTCATTAAACTTTTTGATCAAGTTTATAAACTCTAATTTAGTATTAATAACGTTGTCTTCCATTTTTCAATGTATTAATTCCATAAATAAATCTTGAAAGTTATGCTGGAGACACATATATGGCTTTTCTATCCATGGACCATTAATTGGAGGTTATGTTGGCGGTCGGGTTTTGTTTATTGTTTTTTTAGTCTTTTAAATCACGCACAATCTCAAATCACACATATACACATTTGTTCTATTTGTTTCTAAATTATTTATATATAAATTTTTATACGAAATTAAATAATTAATTAATAAATTAATAAATTAAAATCAATTGAATGAATTACCAACCGACGCCACCGAGAAAAGAAAAAGAAGTAACGAACAAAGGACACTACAATATGGCAACACTGAAAAGAAAGACAGCACAGAGAGAAAATCGAAATAAAGATGGAATCAAAAGGGAAAGGCGGACAACACAAAAGGAATCAAAACAAAACGGCCGACAACACAGCCAACACAGCAACAGATGTTTAAGATATGGGTTATCATTTTACGATGATTAGCAAACAATTTGCTATCGATTCTTTGTGATTAGCAGAGACAGCTACAATGAGAAAGAAAATAGAATCAACACTCTCGTTTCAACCTCTGAATAGAGAACATCAAAATAACAATCGTAATTTACATACATTTTCGTGCGCATTAGAAATTTCTAGAAGCGTCCTTTGATCAAGCTTGTTTAGAATTCTGGCAGGGAGACAAAGTGCCCTGAGTTCCTGATTGTTTGGACATATCCCATTTAGTTTCATCAACATCAAATAATTTTTTCATCAATCAACTCATTTGACATCAACATAAATTTTCATTTCATCTTTAAATTTCAACTTTTGGCATTTTGATATCCTGGTTCTTTGGAATTTGGTGTGATCTCCGCAGTGGTTTTTTGAGGGATGCCGGGGGATCCAGGTGATCCTCTACCAAATGTAGTGGAGAGGAGTGGTGCAAGGAGCAATGGCGTTGGAAAAATAACGGGTAAGAGAGGTCGTAGTATTGGAAGAATGGATGGCAATTCTAAAGAGAGAAAAATGGAAGGTTGCGCAGAGGGCGTCAAGGCTGCTGCGACTAACGGTGCTCAGGTTTATGATGTGTTTGGTTCGTCTGTGTCTGAGGATAGTGCTAGTGTAGTGTCAACAAGTAAAGTAAATGTGGTTAATAATAACAATTTACCAGCTAGTCCTGGTAATGATGATATAGAATTATTTTATGATGATACTCATCCTGGCCCTTTCATGGTCTATATTGATACAATCACTAAGAACAGTGCAAGACAACCTTTTAGTGTGTTTGACTTTTCCCGTCATATAAAGTTCCTTGAAGTTAGAGATGTAATTTGTGTCACAAAGATAGGTTATGGTAGAGGTAAGATTGTTTTTAAGACTGCACAAGCAGCAAATGCTTTTGTAACTGACCAAAGAATAATAGGTGCTGGTTACCAACCAAGAATTTTTGCTCACTTTCTTTCAAAATGGGGCATAATTTTTCCGGTTGAGGAAGATGTGTCTGAGGACGAAATGCGAGAACACTTCCAAAGTGAAATACCCATATTGAAAATTCAAAGAGTCCAGAGAAAGGAGGGGGATGATTTGATTAACACCAAACGTGTTAAAATACTGTTTAAAGGTCTTACTATACCTGACAATATTGAAATATATGGCTGTGCCTTTATGAAAGTGCGTCATTTTATACCCTTTGCGCAATGTTATAGATGTTATCGATATAATCACTTTTCTAAACATTGCAAACAGCAACAAAAAACCTGTTCAACATGCTTCACCATCCATGATATTGGAGTACCTTGTGCTCCAGCACCAGTCAAGTGCTCGAATTGTAAGGATAACCACAAATCAACTGACAAAAATTGTCCAGCTAGGACTAAAGCTTTTAATATTAAAAGAGTTATGACCATCGAAAATCTCTCATATAACGAAGCAAAAACTAAATACCCACCGATTTTTAGAAATAGTTTCTACCTCTTAGATGAGGAATCGAATGGAGAATTCCCATCTCTTCCACAACCTAGAAATAACTCTTCGGGTATGGGTCATAGACCTACCCCCAACAACACACAAGAATCCTCAAGTTACTTCCACAGAATTCAATCTTATTCGCGAGTCGCTAAAAACAATGCAAATAGAATACGGGAAGAAGAAAATGCTAAGAGAACACAACAGCAACACCGTGAAGCTCTTGACCAAGGTGCTTCATACTCCTTGCCAAATGGCTCATTACTTAGTGCCTTAGAAAATCAAAAAACTACGGAATTTGAAAAAGTTCTTAGCATCATTACTGATCTTCTGAATAAAGCTTTAATCACTCCAAATGTAGTCAATAAGGAATCAATGAACCTTTTTAACAAAATTAAAGATGCAATTAACAGCAGTCAAGCGCAAATGGATTTAGGATTAATGAATAAGAGTCTGAAAGGACAAAATAATAATAATAATCAAAATTAATATATTATGCGAGTTTTACAATTTAATATACAGAGTTTGAATAATAATAATAATAAATGTCTGCTGGAGCTTTTTATGGAAAAAAATAAAATTGATATCGCATTGATAACTGAGACTTGGTTGAAAGATAACTCGACTTCTAACTTAACTAATTTTAATTTTGCTTTTAAAAACCGTCAAGACAGCTATGGAGGTGTAGGTATATATTTGAGAAGAGATATCTCTTTCTCACTTATCGACATCGACATTGGTGTTGAGATGGAAGTTTTAGGCGTAAAAACCTTGAATTTGAGAAATAATTTCATTTTTAGCGTTGTATACATTCCTCCGAATACGCAGAGGGGTACCTTTGAATTAATGGTTAATAGTCTTTTCACACATCTTGGACGTTTTGCATTGCCGATAGTAGTTGGGGGTGATTTTAATGCCAGATCTGTAGAATGGGGTGATACGATCACGAACGCCCAAGGAGCTATATTGGATGATATAGCGTCATCTTGTGGTTTTTATTGTCTTAATAATGGTGAACCTACTTTCCGTCTCCAGGATAGACATGCTTCTGTCTTGGACTTAACGTTTGCAAAAAATCTCAATTTAACACCTACTTGGTCAGTTAATTCGAATAAACTTACTAATAGCAATCATTTGCCCGTAATTGTGGAATTCGGTAATAACCCTATCCCACCAAGGGCAACCAAAAGAGTGAAGAAAAGGGCAGTTTTAGAGGAGATGGCTAAATTAGATGTAGGTGGCTCCATTGAAAATTTCAATAACAAGGTTCGTGAGATTGTTAAAAAAAACACAATTACAATAGATGCACAGAATAAATATGTCCCGAAAATGTGGTGGAATAAAGAAATAGAAAAGCTGTTTAGATTAAGACAGGCTGCAAAGGCTAAATATTTTAAAAGCAGGACCCTACAAGACTTAAGGGCTTTTACAGAGGCAGAAGATACTCTTCGTAAAAAGGTACAAGATTGTAAAATTGAGAACTTTGAATCGGTGGTTAATGAACTCTCCAGTAGTACTTCCACCAAACATTTCTGGAGAACGATTAGAAATGTACGCAAGTACAAGCAGCCTAAAAGTATTAATCACACATGGGATGAAGATCAAAAAGGACAATTTCTTAATTTATTGGCTTCTGCCTCCACCTCGGATACATCCGCTGTACACCAACCTGATACGGATGAGCTTAGTATAGCTTCTATGTCTTCCGATGGGCCTGGGGGAATCGATGTCTTGGGCGGATTCAGGATTGACGCGGGGGAGTCTCACGGGGCGCCAGTGGAGGTCTCCAGGGTTGTGTCCCTGGAGAATTCTATTGCCAACTCCGATGATGATGCTCCTGAGGAACCTGTTTTGGCCCCGGATGTGGATTCTACTGTGGACCTGGCGGGGGATCCTGGGATTCCGACTTTAGGTCGCCTTTCTCCATCATTTCTCTCTTTTGAGACCTTTCAACGTTTTTTACAGTCGAGAAGCTCCAACTCAGCCCCAGGGTTGGATCAAATATCCTATGAGCATTTAAGAAGTCTGTCTCACTCGGCGCTTGTGGCTTTCTTCGATATCCTGTGTAGTGTTTGGTCAAGTGGCAAAATTCCAGATGACTGGAGGAATATTAAAATCTCGCCAATCCCAAAACAGGGAAAGGACCCCACCAAGTTAGAAAATTACAGGCCAATCTCACTTCTTTCGGTGCCTCTTAAATGCCTTGAATCAATGTTGAAGGAATCAACTCAAAGTTTTCTCGAAGCAAATCACGTGTTCCCTGCCCGGTCATATGCGTTTAGACCGGGCCACTCTACATCCATGTGTATTAACGACCTAATCAATACGGTCTATGCGTTAAAATCGAGGGGTTTCCAAGTGTTAGGTTTCTGTGTCGATGTTGAAAAGGCCTATGACTGTGTGAGGGCGGATATATTGAAATCAAAACTGGATGACCTGGGGGTGAATGGCGCGATTACCTCGTGGATTGTAGATTTCCTCCACAGGAGGAATCTCGTCCTTGGTTCTCGCGTCGTCTCCGTCAGCGGTGGTCTAGCTCAGGGAAGTGCGTTAAGCCCAATTCTTTTTAATGCATACACAATTTCATTACATGCTATTCAGTCTGATAATTGCATTTTATTCCAATACGCAGATGATTTCTTTCTGTTGGTTTACCATAGGGACTTTGAATCCGCCAGATGCATTTTGGATTCGAAGATTGATGAATTCGCTGCTCGGTGCGGGGAGATTAACCTTCGCTTTAATATTAGTAAAACGTCTGCAGTCCATTTTAATAGGAGAGTTCGAAACCTGAATCTTATTCAGAACGGAGTTGGTATTGAGCAGGTAAACAAAATTAAGTACTTAGGCTACTTTGTGGCATCCAATAACTCCGCAAAGGAACATGTTCAAAATGTCCTTTCAGAGGTAGAAAAGAAAAACAGGTGTTTAAATATCTTAGGTGGTTGTAACAGGGGCATAGATCCACGTAAATCCCTGCGCCTTTACAGGGCATGTGTTAGGTCCAAGTTAGAATATGCATCTGCGGCCCTTGCCAATGCTGACAAAGGTTCCGTTAATAAAATTAAGACCTCGATCAACAACTGTTTGAGAAAATCTCTTGGCTTAATAAGATCAACGCCGGTCCCATGTCTCTACCACTTGTCGGCAGAGCTACCTCCAAATTATAGATTTTGTCTCACGGCAGCAAAAGAATTGGTGAAATCCTATGCATATAAGCGACCTATTGTAAATACCCTCGGGAATCTGTCCCACCCTATTAACACTGGCATTTATAGAGTACACACAAAATTCAAAGATATTCTCCAAAAAGTCGGGAAAACTTCCCCATTAGGAACAGGTACCCAGATTATAGTGGTTGATGACGTGTTTTTCAAGGGAATAGTTACAAAGAAGGCTGACGCGGATTCTTTGATAATTGGGCAATTATATAATGAAAAAATAAATCAGTTAAAAAACAAAGGTCTTGAAATTTTCTTCACAGATGGTTCCGTTTTTTCCGACTTCTCTGGCTCGGCCTTTATTCATGAAGGCCCTGGTATTGTGTTCTCGTATTTCGGAGACCTGGCATTGTCCTCAATGTCGGCCGAACTTATAGCAATAGTCAAAGCACTTGAATATGCAGCTAACAATCAAATTCGAAAATTAGCCATTCTTTGTGACTGTCTTAGTGGTCTTGTAGCAATAAAAAACAATCAGAGGGGAAATTATCTTGTTGACAGAATTAATTGGCTAGCTTCGGAACACTTTGAGGAGATTGAATTGCATCATATCCCGGGGCACTGTAGTATCCCACTTAATGAAACAGTTGATCAGCCGCAAGAATGGCGAGAGAGATTGGCTCGCAGATTGAGACACCCTTGACTATCTCTGACGCAATTAACCATATAACTCACGACCTGTGGATAGAATGGGCAAATGAGTATAAAGAAAGAGGATTGTCCGGCTCCTCCCATTACTTCACAATCTTCCCTGAAGTCACCAAACGACCATGGTTCCACAATACCACATCTACCCCTTTGGATACAAAAACACTCAACAGAGTTGTCACAAACCACGCCTTTTGCAATGCCACCTTGGAAAGAATGAAAGCAGTTCCTTCTGCCCTCTGTGAAACTTGTTGCACTGAGGAAAATGTCGATCATATCCTATTTCAGTGCCATCGCTTTTCGTCGGAAAGAAATTCTAATCACTATATGCGGAGCTCAAGATCCACTGTAGATTTCATCAACAAACATGGGATTAAAAATCTTCCTGCCATTGCTGAATTTTTGCACAAGATCAAATTTAACCTGTAAACACCTGCTCTAAACATTAACGACCTAGCGGAACCCTCCCGATTGGAAATTGGCCAAGTTTCAACTTTCTAAAACCAAAAAAAAAAAAAAAAAAAAAAATAGAATCAAAGCGGAAATGCAAAGAAGAGAATAAGGGTTCTAGAAGATCGAAAAATTTAGTTAAAAGGGATCTAAAAACACCATTTTGTCTTAATATTTTTTGTGGCCTCAAATTTCTTAAAATATTAATACAAATTTTGGAATGCCTCTTCCAAATAAGAAAACGCGAAATATTGGTTGTTGTAGCATCTTATACTGCTGTGTCGATCTGACAGATGCCGGTTCTATGTACCGGATTGACTCGGAGGAATAAATCCTCGACCAAGGGCCGCCAACCAAACAAATACATGTTCGTGCCAAATAATAGTTTGCAAGAAAGGGTAATTCCTTCAATGGGTGGTCGGCATTTAACGTTTCTCATAATCATTTAATTATTTCAGTTCCATTTGTAAATGAATAATAGAATATAAAAGCAGAATTTACAACTTTCGGTCATAATGAGAAACAAGTAAAAAAAATATTATGTTTGTCCGGGCCGAACTTTTAATACCATCAATCGTGTTTTACTTTAAACTACAAATACCAGTAAGACCGTTTAGATAATGCCATAAGACCATAAAGTGGGTGAGGCCGTTATGTGGGGGTCATACCAAAACCGGAACCTATATAGACAATTTTATACTTCAAGGAATGTCATCTACCAAATCTTCTTAAATACCGCCACCGGGTCTAGAATTATGAACTACAAATACCAAAAATTTAAACAAATCCTTGGAAAAAAAGCGTATATTGGGATGTACCGTTATATGGGGGCTATACAAAAACGCGGACCTTTTCAAACAATATTTTGCTAACGGACCTAAAACCCATTATGACCTACAAATACCAACTTTTAGACAAATTCGTAGAAAAATGTGGCAAAAATCATTTAAATACCGAATATCGGAAGTACTATTATATGAGTAATTTATAAAAACATGGACCTATTACATACAATATTTCGACGCCGGAGCTAGAACCCATTATGAACTACAAATAGCAAGTTTTATTCAAATGCGTGAAAAAAAATTTGGCAAAAATCATAAAAACACCGAATATCGGGTGGTACCGTTAAATGGCGGCTATACCAAACCAAGGACCGATATATCTCATTTACATACCAACCATCCTAGACAAAAAACAAATTGTTCACCAAATTTTGAAAGTGAAATAATGTAAATTGTATTCTGCTTTTAAAAGACAGACAAAGGGGAATCGTTAAAAGTCAACATACCCTCCTGGAGGGTACAAAAAATTACATTCAGCTGATATTACAGAATAATGTTTACTGAGTTAAGTTAGATTTTGCAAAGTCTCAGGAATTCAACTGTCAAAATGATTTTATTCACTCGCTCATATTTACTGAACTTTGTGTTATCGTACAACATTTTGTACAATTTTGTTAAAATATTACAAAACATAGGCTTATCGTACACACCCAATGATATCAAAGTTATATTTTCTAATTTTTCGCACTTCTTTACATTTGTGCATTTTAGTATAACAAATTATAACACATAGCATGAAAATCGACTTATGCACCTCTAATTATCGACTTGGGAATCCCTATTTGTCGATTTGTACGTCCCTAATGGTATTGGTATTATGCTTGTCATGCTTGTCATTTGTGTCATTTTCTTGTAAGCACAATTTGCAAAAAAATCCGGTCTTTGTATTTTTGTTTAAACAAATTTGTTTAAATCGAATTTGTTTAACAAATCTGAGTAAAGTAAACGCTATTGGCGTATAATTAAAAAACTTATTACGTTTGTTGGGATAAGAAACAACAAAAACAAAATGCCTTCATCAGAAGTCGTTGTAAACAAGGTGATTGTCCATCCTTTGGTGCTGTTGTCAGTCGTGGATCATTTCAATCGAATGGGTAAAATTGGTAATCAAAAACGAGTTGTTGGTGTCCTCTTGGGTTGTTGGAGAGCCAAGGGCATTTTGGATATATCCAACAGTTTTGCAGGTACGATAAACTCAATTTTTTCTATATTTGTATACATATATAATTTGTTTTGTTGTTGTTTGCAGTACCCTTCGATGAGGATGACAAAGATAAATCTGTTTGGTTTTTGGATCATGACTATTTGGAGAACATGTATGGCATGTTCAAAAAAGTCAATGCCAAAGAACGTGTAGTGGGCTGGTACCACACTGGTCCCAAATTGCACCAGAACGATATTGCCATCAACGAACTGATACGTCGCTATTGTCCTAACTCAGTTTTAGTCATTATTGATGCCAAACCTAAAGATTTAGGTTTGCCAACAGAAGCCTACATTGCTGTCGAGGAGGTACATGATGATGGTTCACCTACGTGTAAAACTTTTGAACATGTACCCAGTGAAATTGGTGCTGAGGAAGCTGAAGAAGTGGGTGTAGAGCATTTACTGCGCGATATTAAGGATACAACAGTCGGCAGTCTTTCACAAAAAATCACTAATCAATTAATGGGTTTGCGTGGTCTCAAGGCCCAGCTGAGTGACATCAAGAATTACCTGCAGCGTGTGGGAGACGGTAAAATGCCCATCAACTATCAGATTGTATATCAATTGCAAGATATATTCAATCTTTTGCCCGATATTACAAACGACCAATTCACCGAGACCATGTATGTGAAGACCAACGATCAAATGTTGGTTGTCTACTTGGCCTCCATGGTACGCTCCATTATTGCCCTGCACAATTTGATCAACAATAAGCTAGCAAATCGTGATGCTGAAGAAGGCAAGGATAAAAAGTCTGAAGACAAGAGCAAAGAAAGCAAGGATAAAGAAAACAAAGAAACCAAGGATAAAAAGGGTGCTGCCGAAGAGAAAACCGACAAGAGCAAGGACGACACAAATACGAAGAACAGTAAGAAATAGGAGCGAAGAAAAAAGAAAAAGAAGCCTCGACGTAAAAAGAAACGTGACTAAATTGTTTGGCAGAAAATGATTTCAGTTGCGTCCATAATACAAACATTACGCCAATCACAAAAACTCGGTAACAATACAGGCTCCTTATTCGCTAAATTACAATGAAGAACTAAATGTGTAAAAGAAAACCAGAAAAATATCATTTAATCATCATTATTACACTTTTCCAGAATGTGAAAAACCAATAAAATAAAATCTTTATTTCTATAAGAAATTATTTAAAATACGAAAACAATGCAGAAAATTATTGCGATTCCATCGCCATGCTACTAACAAAGGATACAACTCACATTTTTCTAGTTGTAGTCTATTGAAAGATGTGAAAAGAAAAAAAAAAAACGAAAAAATATTTATATAAACTGCATAAAAACATCATGCTGCTAATAAAATCTGTTAAGAAATCTAACACAAAATGAAACAAAAGGCTTAAATATAATTGAATATTTGTTTAAATGTAGTTTGATGGTCATTTTCGAAACGACAATTCTCCAGGCATTGAGAATGGAGAAAGAATATTGTTTCATACCTACAGGTGGTTGGATAAATGTAATCCTCATAAATGAGAAAGAAAATATGTTAAGTTCGTCTGTTGCGGGGAAGAACTTGAATGTTTCAAAATCGCTGGAAAATGTTCATTGGATTAGGAAATTGAAATAAAACCATTCCACCCCCATAAATCTATCGAGACACACCTTTGACATCTGAGAGTAATTATGTATAATTAATATGTTCATTGGAAAATTATTGAATTTCTCTTTTATAGATACGCATCATTAAGCACATAGCGGGAGACAATTATGAAGAAATATTTTTAAAGTTTTAAAATTTCCCATTACTTAATATCAATGAAGCAAATCAGATCATATTTTTGATAGGTATGGTCATAATGGGTAATAATTAAATAAACATTTTCTTTCCCAATTTAATTTCACACCCTTTCCACGGCTGTAGGAAATGCTGCAATCTTATTTAAAGTAGTGGGACGACGTTTGTGGGCACCAATAGAAAATGAATGTCATATTGGAGAGATTTTATAACACCCCTTTTTGAAACATAATTCTACAGTCATTTAAAATCCGCTCACAAAAGACGAGCTGGAAATGTAATGTCTGTATATAATTCAGGCCCAAAGGCATCTACTTAATACAGTTATTTCTTATACCCTCAGCCTTATGACTACGGAGGGTATATATCATTTGATACGGCCAAAACGTGCCTCATCGAAATAACGGGTTTAGACCATAGGTCTCTTTGGACCAAATCCGTTTAAGGACATTTGGATTCCATCTAGCGATGCCCGACTGTCTGTCTGCGCACGATAACTCTCGAAGGGTGTATCCGATTTGATTCAAACTTGGTACAACGTAATATTATTGTCATACATAGATCGAGTTTGGAGATGGGCAATATCGGTCCACTCTTCCTGGTGCCTCCATTTTAAAAGAACAACATTTTAAAAGAAAATAACTTACTGACCAAAAAGAGAAATGATAATCCGATTATGCTCCAACATTGCATATCCTAATATTTGCATCAATGTTAGGTCATGTGCGAAAATGAACAATATCGGTCCACCTCATCAAATACCTCCCCCTCAAACGGTCAAAATTTTGAATAATTAAAACTCTTATACAACGTGATATAAGTGTCCGATTTTCTGCAAATTATAATTATAAAATTATAATTATACACATCACAATATTTTTACTAATCCAAGGTCTGATGTGAAGATGGAATATGCTGGCCCACTCCTTCTGTTACCTCCCTCACCAAGGGTCAAAATTTGGAATATTCATGAGGCTCATAAAACAAGAAATTAACATCAGATTCCATTTAGACTTGGCACATCTCAATATTTTCATCAACACAACATCTGTTAAAAAGATGGTAGAGATCGGACCATTACTTCTGGTATCTCCCCCACAAAGGGTAAAATATTGAATAACCAAAACGATCATAAAATTCGAAATAGACATAAGATTCTCTTCAAATTACACACATTACAATATTTTTATTAACCCAAGATCTGATTAAAGATGGTACCTCCCCCACAAAGAGTCAAAATTTTGAGTATCCATGAGTCTCATAAACGAGAAAAATGCATATTTCCACATTTTCCAAAAAATTTCACATATCTCATATAAAGTACAGGAAGTAGTCGATATAGTTAAAATCTGTTGCGTTGTAATATTTATATCAGTCTTAGGTCAGATACAAATTGGTCAATATTGGCTAACTGCTTCAGAACCTTCCCTATAAAGAGTCAACAGTTTGAATTATCATAAGTCAAGGGTAAATAGCTGTCGGCAAAACCGACTGTCAAAATCGCTTGAGCAGATTTACCAAATTTCAAAAAAAAAATGAGGTTTAATCTTAAAAATTAGGTGCCTGTGTGTCTGAACTGTAACATCTGAAAAACAAAAATGGAACATTTCACTACAATTTGTTTAAATAATTAATTCCCAGAATTCTTCTTAAATTAATTTGAAAAATCGTCCAATAACATTTTCACACCTTCAAAACTTAATTGAAATACATTCAATGGGCCATAACTCAATATGAGGTTTTGATTTTTCTATTTGATGTAAATCTCTTTGATGTGGAATGGTTATGCTCCAAATTCGATGAAATCCCAAACATCTGGCTATAATTAAAAAAAAAATACAAAACGTGGATGTGAGAAGAGAGAAAGTAAGACAAGACAGTCGACACACTTCGGCGGATGTTTTTCTTTTCACCGTAAATTTGAAATATTGAATAAATAGCAGATTAAATGATTTGCATTCCAAACTGGCAAAGTCTGCAAACAACTCCCGGCACTGATGTAAACAGGCATGGATCTGTGTCGGTATTAAAACTCGATACGGATGCCAGTGGAGTGATATTTTACATCTGTATTAAAAACAATGCATGCATAATGCGGCCATGTAAAAGTTTCTGGAGCTGATCTCCAACATGTGTGTATTTTTCAATTTTTATTCTCGGTCTGTCAAAAATGTAGCTACTCCACAAATGCACTGCATTTCTTCTGGAAATTTATGTGCAACACAATGTGGTGTGTGTGGAAATGAGTACGTCACTTCAGTATCTTCTATTGTGGGTGGGGGTGAAGCTACATGTGTGTGTGTGCGTGTGCGTGCATGCAACCTGTAGACAGGAAATCTAAATATTCTCTGAAGCCACAAGATGATGATTCAGAATTTTTGGGTTAATTTTCAACAAAAAATAAATCTTTAATTACATTCAGCTGCTCGAAAATCTCCACTCATTGTCATTCATTTTGATGGATTTGTCTGAAAACGTATTTTTGGGGGTTAAATTATTGTTGTTTTGTTGTAAAAATTACAACATATGTGAAATACGAAGATTTCCTTGAAAAGTCAAGGAGTTGTAATTAGTTTGGTTGTGGTTGTCTGGCATGGCCATCAGAGCTATTTTGAGGAAATTCATCAGAATCGTTTTCTTCTGTGGGTTGATATTCATCAATATTTCCCATAAGCTGATGAGATTTTGGGGTCATAAAATGTTATGTTATTTTTGTCACGTGCCCCATGTGGATTATCTCCCACCTAGCGTTTGCCATAACGTGGGAGAGATACTATGCGATCCGATTTTGATGATCTTTCAAGAGTCTCGTCATTCATTTATCATTTTCTTATAAGACTATGTCGTGTAGGGTGCACTTACAAAAATAAAATATTATTTGAAATTGTTTGTGGATTTTAAAAAGACTTTCAGAGTTTTAGTCTCTGATTTTTTTCCAAATAGCAGCAATCGTGGATTTTTATAAGAGGAATTTTAAAGTTGTAATCGTGGATCTTGAATTTCCGAATTTCCCGAGGGACTTTCATAGCTATAATCAGGAATTTCTTAATAAATTTTTAGAAGGAATTTCACAGTCGTAATCAAGGATAGTTTAAGATTTGTTAGAAGGGTCACTGCCGTATTTATTTATTTTAGGAATTTCTCGAAAGGCTTTCACAATTGTATCTATAGATTTTTAAAGCATTTTTTACAGATTTTGAATTTGTGGATTTTTTTAAATTTTTTTTCGGGACAATAAGATCTTTCAAATATTTTTTGGTGATGATTTTATTTAAAGTAAAATAGTATCAGTCGGCTTTGCCGACAAATGTATAACCCCCCCTTGAGTTATGGTTATTTAAACGGTTGACCCTTTTATGGGGAGGATCCGAAGCAGCCATTGACCAATTCGTATCGGACCTAAGTCTAGTAAAAATATTACAAAGTGCCAGATTTGGACTATATCGACTACTTCCTATTTTACATTAGATATATAGAAATTTCTTGAAAATGTGAAAAAATGGAAAAATGAGGTAAAAAATTGTGATGTGATTAATTTGAAGACAACCGGACTCTTACATACATTTTAAAAGAGTTACAATTATTTAAAAATTTTGAACCTTTGTGGGGGATATACTTGATGGAGTAGACGGATATTGACCATTTTCGCACATGACCTAGAACCATTGCAAAGATTAGGATTTGCAAAGTTGGAGCAAAATTGAATTATCCTTTTGTCTTTCTGTCCAGTAAATTATTTTTTTTGAAAATGTTGACATTTTTTGGGGAGGTACCAAAGGGAGTGGACCGATATTGCCAATCTTCGAACTCGATGTAAGTTTGACAATAATATTACGAGGAACCGACTCTCTTTAAGAGTTATCGTGCGAACCAACTAGACAGACAGACAGTTGGACGGACGGACGGATATCGCTAGATCGACTCCAAATGTCCTGAGACGGATTTGGTCCAAAGAGACCCATGGTCTAAAACCGTTATTTCGATGAGGCACGTTTTGGTCGTAAAATCCTTTTTTTTTTTTTCAATTAGTTGTGATTTTTTTAAAGATATTTTCAAAGAATGGTCGGGTTTTAATCCTAATTTTTTATGGATTTTTTTCAAGGATCAATAGAGATGAAATCTTGGATTTTTAAAATGAAAATGTTTATGAACTAATGGAGCTAGAAGCGTGGATTTTTTAATAGTCTTCAAGGACCAAGGGAGCCAGAATCGTGGATATGGAAAAATGTTTATGCACATATATTTACGAGATATATGGGTTTTTGGATAATATATTTCATGAATCAAAATGGGCGGCCTTTTTGGATCAAATCCGTTTCAAATTTTCAAAAAAATACTTTTCTGCACAGAAAGAGAAAAGATAATTCATTTCATAATCAATTTCACTCTAACGTTGCAAATCCTAATATTTGTATCAGTGCTAGGTCGGGTGCGAAAATGGACAATATCGGTCAACTCCATCAAGTGCCTCTCCCACAAAGGTTCAGAATTTTGAATAATTATAACTCTTATAAAATTTAATGTAAGTATCCGATTGTCTTCGAATTACACACATCACAGTATTTTTATTAACTCAAGGTCTGGGGTAAAGATGGAATATATCAGTCCACTCCTTCTGTTACCTTCCCCACAAAAGGGTCAAAATGTTGAATATCCATGAAACTAAAAAAACGCGAAATTAGCATCCGATTCCATTTAGAGTTGGTACGTCTCTATATTTCCATCAAAACCGGATCTGTTTAAAGATGGTATAGATCGGGCCATATATTATGGTACCTCCCCCACAAATGGTCAAAATTTTGAGTAACCAAAAAGATCTTAAAATCCAAAATTAGCATCCGGCACTCTTCATATTTCACACATCCCATTACTTCTACTAACACAAGATCAGCTATGACGATATATCGGTTCACTCCTTCTGGTTCCTCCCCCACAAAGGGTCAAAATTTTGAGTATTCATTAAGCTCAAAAAACACGAAATTAACATCGGATTCCATTCAGATTTGGTACATCTGAATATTTCCATTAACACAATATCTGTTACCTCCCCCCTCCCAAAGGGTCAAAGTTTTGAATAGCCAAAACGATCATAAAATCCAATATAAGCATCCGGCTCTCTTCATATTTCACACATCCTATTATTTCTACTAACGCAAGTTCTGCTGTGAAGATGGGACATATCGGTCCACTCCTTCTGTTACCTTCCCCACAAATGGTCAACATTTTGAATACCCATAAAGCTAATAAAACGCGAAATAACATCCGATTCCATTCAGACTTGGCACATCCTAATATTTATTTTTTTATTCTTTTTATGGAATGTATTATAGGATCAACAGAGCTATACCTTTGGATTTTTTTTTAAAGATTTTGTCTTTAAGGACTAGTAGAGGTGCAAATTCTAATTTTTTAAGAGGATTTGTTAAGGAATATTTTTTAAATATAAACAGATCTATGATAGTGTTTTTTTAAAATATCGGAAATAAAATCGTGGAATTATAAGGACTAAAAATGCCAAAATCGTAGATTTTTAAAGAATATAAAAAACAGGCGGTTTTTAACGATAAAAAGAGACATATTTTTAATTTTTTTTTTCGAGGACTACCAGAATAATAGTAGCGAATTATTTAAAGTGCCAAGATCCAGATCTAATATCGTGATTTTTTCAAGAATTATTTTAAAGGACAAACGTAGAATATAGCCCTGGACTTATGGATTTTATATTAACTTTGACATTCCGTTTGTAATTCCTCGAAATGCTCATGATTGACCTTACGAAGTGTATATATTTTGGATCAGAGTAAAATTCTAAATCGTTTTAGCGACAGTCGATCGGTCGGTCGTCTTCTTATTTCTTATTTTTCGGAATTTTTGGAAATTTCTCAAATTTTTTCCCAATGGTGGAGGGTATTAAAATTTCGGTCCGTCCTAACTTAGCTGGTTTTAACTTGTTTTATTTGAAAAAAAAAAAAGATTTTAAGAATTATTAAATATATAGGAATTTTAAAGATCTTTTTAAGGATTTCCTTTTGAATTTTCTAAAAATATTTTACTTAGGGAGGTATTCCCCTTTGTAAAAATCAATACAACTTTTTTAAAACGTTAATTTGATCAAATTAATAAAATTCGTCAATTTGATTTTAAGATTTCGTTTTTTTTTTTTTTGAAATCTTTCAAAGGGTACATAAAATTCGTTGAGAATGTCAAAAATATGCTATTCTCTTGCGTTTCTTACAGTTTTATGTTGCCTTTGTCCTTGGCGCCTCCACGCAATAAATTATTATTGACATTGTTTGAAAATCTCTGTGCGTGCGTGCCTGCCTGCTTCTTGCTGTCTAGGGCGATGAGAAATAGGCATTTGACATTTTTGGCGTGTCGTAATGCCTCAATGGAACGAACAACAACACCCTTTGATGTGGGTGAGGGTGCTGAGGGCACATACATTGTGTGTGTGTGTGTGTGTGCGAGATGGTCTACTAAATTGTCAATAAATGTGACAACCGGCAATAAATGAGCACAACATTAAAAGAGAATGCCGACACATTGAGTGGTGTGGTGTGTTGTTGTGGAGCAGAAATTTTACACATTTACGCATTGTTGATGTGTTCATTAGTTTGTGTGTGTGTGTGCATGCATGTAATCGCTGGCAAAGTGTAAGTGCTTGAAAATATACCGTTATGGCAAACATTACAGCCGGAGAGAGCTTTACATTAAATCTCTTTCCGTTGTCTATTGCAGGCGTAGGGGATTTTTTTCTTCTCTCATCTTGAAACGAATGGAGGAATGAATGAATGTTGTTGAATTCAGCCAACCGAGAACTAAGACATCCGTTCGTTTCTTTTTCGTTTACTCGTTCGTTTCGTCTTTCGATCAATGATGAGTTTTTGAGGATCAGTGTTTTCCAAAGATCTTTCAGTTGCAAAAGTGTAGCAAGAGCGTGTACAACGCCAATCGGACTATAGATCCGGCCAAAAAAAAAAAGTTGAACATCCAAGGCAGACACTGAACAACAAAAACAACAACTAAAAGAAAACTCTGCATTTAACCAAAAAAGAATAGTGAAAGAAGTGAAGTTATTTTTAAAAACCACTTTGAAGTGTACAGACACGGGGAGAAAGAAAAACAAAGAATAATTTTCATATACATACAAACAAAATAATAATACATTTTGAAACAAAAATAATGCAGTTGATTTTGTGAAAAAATCGAATCTTTTTAGAAAATATATATATTTTTCTGTGTTCATTTTGGAAAAAAGAATTGTGAAGAAAAATAATTGAAAAATGTTTGAAACAAACATGAAAACTGCCACACAATATTTGTGTATATCCGCCCTACTACTTGCCACATTCAGCATTTCCGGTACCTCCTGCCACATTTTGGATAGCCTGCATTTCAACGAACTCTACACTGCCAGTCCTGATGATTCCGTTCTAACCCTGCCCAATGGCGATAGTGAATTTCTAGTTTGGCATTTGGACAATCCGATTAGCTTTTATAGTGAAAAATATGATCAATTGTTTGTAAGTATTAAGAAAAAAACTAGAATTATTAAAAAACTAAAAAAAAAACTTAAAACTGGCGGCGCAACTAGAATTATTAAAAAACTAAAAAAAAAAAAAAACTTAAAACTGGCGGCGCACCACGCGTTTCTTTGAATGAATTTTCCTTTTCTTATTCATCACCACGACTTCGTCGAAAAGATGTTCGCATCTATTTTTACATGAACGCCTTTTTTTAAAATTTCATCGTGGAAAATAATCCATAACTCTTTATGACACAAAACACTTAAAATTGTTGGCATTCGGCCAGAATTGAAAGAAAAGCACAATTTTCATGTGTTTTTTATTAGCACTCTACGGACAGTGTATGGAGTTCATGAATTGATGATGACAATTCTGTTCAATACAAAGAATCAAAAAAATATGACAGAACTATAACTAAAAAGCTCTATAAGGTTTATGAATTCTTTTGAAATAAATTGAAAATTTACTAAATTTAATGATTTTGAAAAACTAATCATTACATTTGCTAATTTTTTGAAATTTTCCATTAAAAATAGGCCCTGGAATATTGTTTTTAATATTCCAATTATTTTGGGGAAAAAGTATAATATTTTGGTCCAGTATCTTTTTATCTTTTAATGTATGATGAAGTGTAACGTTTGGACACAGCCACAATATAAAGCAACTGTTTTATTTTGTCTCATTTGATTAAAATAATATAAAAACCCCAATTGTGATTCTTGAAAAATTCTCCAAAATCCCATTAATATATCTATTGTAAAATGTATTCCAAATGAAGTAAATACTAATCGATCCTTCATAAAACATCAAAATATATTTAGCTCCAAAGTTTATCGATTTTTTTTTTATTATTTTTATATGGGATTTAGCTTTAGCTTTGTCATTTCTAAAAAATTACTGTATAGACCGAAAATCCAAATAAAGTGTGTAAAAAATCGAGATTTCGTGCTTTAATAACGCTGATGGTCCTTTGAAAAATATGTAGAAATATGTGGTTTTGAAGTCGAGGGCTCAGCATTGTCAAATATCTTATAATCGTTGAATGTATAAAAAATTTAATAAATTAAAAAATTAATAAAAGCAAAAAATATATAAATGGAAAAATAAATAAAAATTAAAAAAATATATATAAACAAATGAATAATTACATAGTTGAGAAAAATAAATAAATATATAAATAACAGTTTACTGCTATTTAAATAGAACAAATCAAATAATAAATTAATAAATATGTAAATAAATTAAACCAAATAATAACTACATTAATAATAATAAGAGTAATAAAATAAAAATTATAGCTGCAATAATAAAAAAAAAAATAAAAAATAATATTAATAATAATAATAAAAACAAAAATACAAATCATAATAATTATAATTATTATAATAATGATAGTTGTAATACTTATTATATTTATAAAATATATTTAATTATAATAATAATATAATATTAATAATAATAATAATAATAATAATAATAATAATAATAATAATAATAATAATAATAATAATAATAATAATAATAATAATAATAATAATAATAATAATAATAATAATAATAATAATAATAATAATAATAATAATAATAATAATAATAATAATAATAATAATATAATAATAATAATAATAATAATAATAATAATAATAATATAAAATAATAATAATAATATAATAATAATAATAATAATAATAATAATAATCATAATCATAATAATAACAATAATAATAATAAGAATAATATGTAATAATAATAATAATAATAATAATAATAATAATAATAATAATAATAATAATAATAATAATAATAATAATAATAATAATAATAATAATAATAATAATAATCATAATCATAATAATAACAATAATAATAATAAGAATAATAGTAATAATAATAATAATAATAATAATAATAATAATAATAATAATAATAATAATAATAATAATAATAATAATAATAATAATAATAATAATAATAATAATAATAATAATAATAATAATCATAATCATAATCATAATCATAATCATAATAATAACAATAATAATAATTAGAATAATATGTAATAATAAATAAATATATAAAATATTTGGATGTGTGAATTTGAAGAGAGTTGGATACATATTTCGCTTTCTTTGAGTGTTTGGTTTTTCAAAATCTTGCAGCCTTTGTGTGGGTGGTACCAAAAGAAATGATCCGATCTCTACTGTCTTTATAAAAGATCTTGTGTTGGTGGAAATATTGAGATGTACAAAGTCTGAATGGAATCGGATGTTATTTTGGGGTTTCATAAGCTTCATGGATATTCCAAATTTTTACCCTTTGTGGAGGTTGTACCAGAAGGAGTGGACCAATATACAGGATACCTTGTGAGTAGAAATAATATGAAGAGAATCAGATTTTAAGATTGGTTTGGTTATTCAAAACTTTGACCCTGGAGCTACCAGAAGGAATCGTCCGATCTCTACTATCTTTCTAACAGATCTTGCTTTGATGGAAATATTGAGATGTACCAATGTACTGAATGGAATCGGATAATAATTTAGCGTTTTATGAGCTTCATCTGTATTGAAAATAATGACCCTTTGTGGGGGAGGTACCAGATGGAATGGACCGATATTGCCAATCTCCGAACTCGGTGTAAGTTTGACAATAATATAACTATGTACCAAGTTTGAATCAAATCGGTTACTCTTCGAGAGTTATCGTGCGCACCAGCCAGACAGACGGACGGATGGACGGACAATTCTAGATCGAATCCAAAGGTCCCAAAACGGATTTGGTCCACAGAGACAGACCTAGGGTCTAAATTCGTTATTTCAAAGAGGTATTTTAAGATAAGGTGAGATGTAATTTAAACTTCCATGAAAAAAGGAAAGAAAGGAAGACTTCTTAAAAACGATGATTCTGATTTTGAAGATTATTCAAAAATGGCTTATAATAACGATGTTTATTTCGTGTCTAAAAACTACCACACTAAGTTCGATAATTCTTCAAAAAATTGTTTTAAAAAACAATTCTGGATTGCAAGATTTCTCAACAAATCGTATCTGCTTTGGAAGAACCTTAAGAAAAATTGTCTTAAAAACTGACAATTTTAGTCTGGAAGATCCTTCTAAAAAATCGTATCTTACAAAACTATGATACTAAGATCGAAAATTCTTCAGAAATGTCGACTTTAAAAAGAAAAACGATTCTGGTTCCCTAAAATCACGACCCTGTATTCGAAGATTTTTTAAAGATCGTGTTTTTTCGAAGTCTCTTTAAAGAATTGTCTTAAAAACTCTCAAAGTTGGTATTGAAGATCATTCCAAAAAATCTTACACATGGGCATGATTCTCGTTTTGAAGAACCTTCAAAAAATTAACTGATTTCGAAGATTCTTAAAAAAATAGTAAAATAAAATTTATTCCTCCAATAGAAAAACATGCCTCTTGGTTCTTCTGATTTCGACGATTCCTTAAAAATCATCGTAAATGCGATTTTGATTTCGAAGAACATTGAAGAGATTTTCTTAAAAAAAGTCTACTTTCGAGGGATATTCAAAAAATCAGCTTAAACACCTCACATAAATACGATTTTGGTTACGGATATCCTTAAAAAATGGTCGTAAATACTAACATTCTGTTTTCGAATATATTTTTAAAATAATTTTGAAAGCTCTCAATTTGTTTTTAAGATTCTTAAAACCCCGTTTCTGGTTAGTGAAACCCATCAAAAATCACCTCCAAAATCGTCTTTTAAAAGCCTTTAATAGAAATTACTCAGGTTTAAAAAATCGTTTTAAAAATTACGATTGTGATCTCGAATATATTTCAAAAATCTTCTTGAAAACAAAATCCTTAAAGAATTGCCTTAAAAGCCACTATTCGGATTTCCAGGATTCTTAAAAGAAACAAAAATACGATTTTCATTAAGCTCAGCTGAATACTGTTGTCAGTGGGAAAATGTTCATTCAGCCTGGATGGATACGGTTTTCAATGTGAACATTTTCATTCAGCTTATCTGATTAGATTTAAATTTTCTTTCTGAATAAGGATTTTCTTTCTCGAATATGAATTTTCACCATATTAACAAAATATAGCTTCCATTGGGAAAACTTTAGTTAGTTCCAAGTACCTGAATATATTTAAATTTTTTGTTTTTGAAATAGAAACCTCAACACTCTCAGGTATTCTTTCCAAAGACCTGCTATTTCATTCTTACTTATAGGAAAATTTTCCTTCGGAACACCTTTCACATTCATTTATTAGCCCGCTAATTAGTTGAAAAAATATTTTGTCTGTATATCTTTTAAGTATATATTGAAAAAAACATTTTTGGCCAATTATATATAGTTTGGGTTTTTTTATTTTTAATTTTGCTCGTGTTTTTTCTGTTGCTGATGCTGTTGTTGTGTCATGGCTCAGTCTGAAAGTGCGTGCTGTCATTAGCAGATTTTTTTTCTTCTCAGATTTTGATGGCGTCGGGCCCCAAATGTTTTGTGTCCACACAGCATTTTTTTGGGCTATGGAAAGTCAAAGAAAAATGTGTTTCTTAAAAAAATAATTTGGTTTATGATCTGACGCCAAAATGGATATGGCAATAAATAAAATACAAACAAAAGTGGCGCAAAGGAAATGAAAGTGGAATAAGGTGACCAAAAGATGACAATGATGATGATCGTGTTGTTGACGATGGCATGCGTTCGACAAGGTGGCGGCAAAGAAATTATGAAAAATTTACAGATTTTTTATGAAAAAAGAAAATTTTGAAACCGAAATTTCACCATAGCCATAAAAAACCCCCTTGGTTTTTTAATTTTCCAAATTTTACTTTGCTCGCAAGGGGTGTTAAATATAAATAAGAATATAAATCATTAATGAGATTGAAAAGAATTTCTTAAAAAATATATATGTATGTAATTTACGAAACTCATTTACAAAGCATTGACATTTGTTTGGACGTGAGTGGATGTCCGGTGGATGGATGGACGCTTTCCGTCTCGTTTTAAGAAATTTTGT